CTACCTTTGTCCCTGAAATATGCATATGGAAGTTATAAAGAGATTGTTATATGGCATACATAGAGTTCTCTGAGACCATGAGCGAAACACAAAATGTTGGTTAGAAAGCCATTTTTTCCCCCCATGAAAACAGTAGTATGCTGCCTTTAGGTCCTCATTTGATTTATGTTTTGTATCTGTATTTCTCTATATGGTCATTTTTTAAAAAAAATATATATATATAATATAGAAATATTTAATATTTTGACAAGTTGTGCATAACTAGACTTTAACATTTTGCTCCTAATATTTTGTGGAAGTTACAGCATTTTCTGTTCAGGGAGATAGAATGGTTTCCATAGCCTAAGGCTAAAGCTAGTGACATGGTGTAAATCAGTTTATTGGGAAAGCCCTACTGATCATCACAGTCTGAAAGAAGACCAGTCCTGGTCATCAACACACAGTCTGTCCATGTATGAGGCCCCTGACTGGCATAAAGGATTTTTCTTCACTAGAATGGAAACTTGGAGAGATTCCTGGCATGGAAGAAAGTGAGCGTTCAGAGTGGAACCATCAAAAAAGCTTTTGAGAAAACCGCTGCAGCTGAGTTGTCTGCCCAGATGCTCACTCCAAAATCTGGTCAAGAGTATTCTGTTTTACTTGTGATTGGGGGGGGGGGGGCGGGGGGGAGGAAATATTACCAGATTTCTAGATGCTAAACAAAAAATATCCTTCATAATTTCATTTTATCAACAGTATGAGATGTGAACACTCCACAAAGAATGCCTTTTGAGTCACAATACTTACTTCTCAGTAATACCTGAATATTTTTTTTCAGTTGTGAAATGGGTGACTAAGAAAATGCATGCAGTTTCTGTGCTGAATCAATGCTAATATGGCTATGTAAAATAGAAGGTGCCAACGTTGACTGAAGTGTTGAAGTCACTTGAATATATAAGCCTAATGGCTTATATATTCAATTAAGGCTGTTAAGTACTAGCATCCTCATTTACAGAAAATAATAATAGTAATTTGAGCCACAGAACATTTTTTTTTTTGAAATGCTGTAGTATTAAGAGAAACTGCAGCTCTTGGCCCAGTGATTCTGTTGCTCCAAACTCCAATCTTATGCTACACGGAAAATCGTGAAGGTGGCCAGAAAACTCAGAAGATGACCAGGGTCTGAGTCTCACAGAGAGTCTCTCTGATATTCACCTCATCTTTATTTTGAGTAGCCTAGAGGTTTCCAGAGCTTCTTCCACTTGCCAGTGTCCTCAAAAGACAGTACACATGCTGAGCCCATCTGGAGCATGGCATTGCTTTTCTGTGACCATATCTTGCCTCCAAGGCACTCCCATTTTAAGGCTTGCAGAGTCAACTCTTTTTTAGGCTCTTCACATCACATGGTCTCGACTGATGAAACAACAATGAAGAACCTGTATTACCTTTTCCTTCTGCTGTGCTAAAATTGCTTAAAGTACTGAAAAGGTTAGTGTAAGTACAATTCAGAGAAAAGAATAGTATTGCTTTTTGTCCTCTAGGACACTGTATAAGAAAATCACGATGAACCATTTAATTAAGTGGACATAATTCCTAACTATTGTAATATGGTAATTTTCCCCTTTGAAATTTTTCAACAAAAGTTGTTCCCAAAGAAGGGTGCAGATAAAAGCACAGCTATTTCTGGTGTTTCATTAGGAGTTGTGCTAAGAATCAAGTATTTTACAAAAACAGACAGTAGAACATCCTTTAAAAAAAAATGCTTGTGCAGCATCAACTGCTTATGTCTGAGCTTGTTCATCTTGCTAGCCTTTGATTTTTTTTTTATTTATTTTTTCTATGTACCACTCTGAAAGCTACATGTGGTGGGATTGTTTGTATTAATCTGTGAACTGTGAAGAGAACGTTTGCTGTCACTTCCTTTTTTTTCTAAAAGCATACAAGAAGCAGCATGCAAATTTTAAAGCAACTGGTGTTAAACACTGTAATAAGTTACAAAAAAGCACTTTTTAAATGTCAAAAAAAACCGCTGATTTACAAAAGTTAAAGCTTGGTCTGGTGCTTATGCCAGAAAACTGATCAGTGCATGAGTCCTAGTTGGGAATTTCAGGGTGCTACCCTAGAGGTAAGAGGGAGGTCAGAAACAGTGTTGTGAGGCGGTCACAACTGAATGGCGTGTATATATATATATATATATATATATATATATATATATATGTATGTATATATATATATTAGTGCAGTGGTGATGAGGTGTTATACTTGGAAAGCTGTTAACCTAGACAACATTTTCCACCACATTGTGTAACGACAGTGTGGGCCACAATTACAGCTTCAGGACTGTTAAGAAAAGCTTCCCTTATAGTTCTTCAGAACTGCTGGAGCAGCAGGGGATGTTTGCTTGATGAGGACTTTGTCATTGTTTAGAGTTCCTTTTATTTCCATTTAAGTTTACAGAGCTATCCTGATGGTTCTGCAGTCTGAGAGCTTGCGGGAGGTGCTGAGTCCAGCAGGTCTGTCTGGTGGTATTTAGCCAAACCTTTGGCCATCAGAAGTTTCCTAAGTCAGATTGGGCAGCTGGGGTCCTCACAGGACCCCATTCCCATTCTTGAATGTGGGAGTCAGCAACAGGAGGTTGTCAGAAACATCCTCCTAAGGGTGATGGAACTTGCTTGTGGGTGTTGGATTCTGTTCTCTAATGTGCAATAAGATAGTGCACAGGTGGGTAGTAGGTAAAGATTTGGAAATGTAAGGTGCTGTAGGAAATATATATCATCGCTACATGGATAACAAGAAGTTCAAGTTTGAAAATAACAGTGTTTTGTTACTTTTACCTAAGTATGGCATCCTGCAAGTTTATTTTGTTTTTTTTTTCATACTTCTCAGAAAAAAAACTCACACTTTTAGTTGTGAAGTATTAGAAAGGATGATGCTTAGTTTTGAAGAAAAACATGAGTTTCCCAATACCTGATTTTCAAGAACTGCTGAAGGGCAGGCTGCAGGCTAGCAGCAACACAGCATTGCACAGATTCATTTTACCTCACTTCATTATGCGTGTTATCCGCGATGAAATCATTGTAAAGGTCATCAGATAACTATGCATATGTTAACCTCCTCTTCTGCTTCATCAAAAGCATTTAACACAACACACTATTACAAACATATTATAAACAAAGTGATTTCTATTTCTAGTATGGATCTCGATGGAACCTACAGTATGAGGTCAATACTAGCCACCTCCAATAATTAGCTGCAGTTGCCACTCTTTACAAATAATGTATGAAGCTAGTGAGCTGTGATGCCTGCTGCATTACAGCAGGCCACAGATTCTCTTCTGATGGCTAAATAGTCTGGGAAATCCTGATTTTATTTACCAGGGGATTTTTTTTTTTTTTTTTTTTTTTTGGGGGGGGGGGTCAGATGCAGTGTGCATAGTAAGCATGACATGTTTGAAACACAGTATCTACAATTCAGTGAGAATGGGTTTTGGTGAGTGTCTGTAAGTGTTGTGTTTGTAGAGGTGACAGATTAATCCTGATGTGGGCAAGCACTGCAACATTTCCTTTAAGCACTTTTGCCAGTTAATCTCAATCCAAAGTTGTTCTTGCTTTTTGCCTTTTGCCAAAAGAAAATGGACATTATTCAAAATAATAATTATGCAAGGTTTAACAGCTTTGAGGGAACTCAAAGGTCTGGAGCATGTGCTCTGAAATGTAAAAAGATATGAATCAGGTATCCTGGATGTTGAACAGTAAAGCAATGAGCTATTTGGTACTAGCCCATGCTAGAATTATTGTAAAAGGAGTTTTAGTTAATTTGCTTGCTGGATTTTTTGCTTGTCTGATATCTTGAGGAAAAAAAAAAAGTTATTTTTGTGTGGAACAAGTTGAGGGAGATGTTTTGGATGGGAATAACAAGCCCACTGAACAAACATTTCTCTACCGTGGAGTTACATTTGCATGTAGCTGATCCAGAACCATGCGTGCCAGGAGTTTCAAAACTTCATGTTTCAGATACAGTGCATGCAAAGCCAGCACTTCAGGGCTAAAACGCACTGAGCTCTTGGTTCAGTGCAGAGCAGAATTTTCCCTAGATATATTTAAGAAAAAAAAAAAAAAAAAAAAAAAGTCAGGCTGTGTAGGTGAGATTGCACCCCTAGACATGGGATTATTTTTCTGTAATTAATTGCATACTGATAGATCTCCTGCAGCTGATAAAGGAACGTCTTTCCCTGCGTGTGGGTCACTTCTGCAAGTTTTAGGCCAGGTGCCACGAGGCAGTCATGATCGAAATGTTACCGAGGGTCCGTTTCCAACGTGGGGTCCCTTTCCAAAACTTTCACCATCCTTTTTTTTTTTTTTTTTCACTTAGGGCCAACGTGTGTTAGATACTCTGTGCACACGCACGCACGGATACACGCGATCCGTGGGGCTTGAGCAAATGTCCCTGCAGCACCTGAGCCCTGGCAGCTGGCTGCTCCGCTCCGGCCAGGCGCCCTTTTGGGACGGGGACGGGGCGGGGGTCCCCTCGGGCAGCCGGCACCCGTCGGCGGAGCGAGGAAAACAGGAAACGGCGCTGATTCAGAACCCTGCCTGCGCCTCCCCGCTGCCGGGCCGCGGACCGGGGCTGCGGCTGGGGGCTGCCCCCGGGACGGGACGGGACGGGGCGGGACGGGGCGGGGCGGGGCGGCCGCTGAGCACCCGCGGAGCTCCGCGAACGGCCCCGGGAGGCGGCGCTGCGGGCGGCACACGCGTCCCCGGGACGACACGGGGCGGAGCGGGGAAGTTTGTGCTCGCTGCCCGGCACACGCCGCTGCCGCCGGCCGCAGCGCAGCGGGGGCTGCGGGCCCCGAGGGGGAGCGGAGCCGGGCGGCGGCCGGGGCAATATGAAGGAGCAGCACCCATGTGCCGGCACCGGGCAGCGGGGAGCGGGCGGCCGCGGCAGGATGGACGCGCTGCAGCTCGCTGTTAGCCCCGTGAAGCGCTTGAGGACTGAGTACGCCTTTCCCTATCTCTTCGCAGAGGAGGCCTACCAAAAGCTGGCCAGCGAGACCCTGGAGGAGCTGGACTGGTGCCTGGACCAGCTGGAGACCCTGCAGACCAGGCACTCCGTCAGCGAAATGGCCTCGAACAAGGTAGGAGCCCGCGCCCGACGCATGCCAGTGGTGCGGGGATGGGGATGCCACGGTCCCATTAGCGGTCCTGGTCCCGCTTCTGGTCCCAGTCCCGGCGGTAGCCGGCGTGTCCCCGGCCGTGGGACGGCGGCACCGGGTCGGCGGAGCCCCGGGGCTGCCCGCCGAGGGGATGCGCTGCCCGAGTGGCTGAGAGGCGCACCGCGGGCAGAGAGGAAGCCTGCTGTGGTGCTCCTGAAGGGCTAGCGTTGGTCATTTTAAACAGGCAGCTCTGTTCAGACCCCGGGGACAAATGGTGAAAGTAATGCGGGCGTTTGGACTTGGAAAGTTATGCCTTTTCGCTGTGTGTTGCAATGTCTAAACCAGAAGAGACTGTTTCTGACTGCTGGTGATGTTCAGTTGCTCGTTCTTCTCACACGCATCCCACTATGAACAAGAGCTCTTTCCTAGAGAAGCATGTAGAAAGTAGTGCTGTGAAGAGGTGGCAAAAGTAGTTCTCAATTCCAGGACTGATACAGACTTAATTGTATTTGTCAGCAGTAAGGCCACCAGTTTTCCTAAGACAGTTTGGAAGAGATGAACATGCGCAACTGGCGTGTGACTATAACAGTCATGATAGATACTGAGACCCAGAGTGTGTTCCCGAGACCAAGTGCACCTCACTTCATCAAATTTCAGAATATCCAGGGAACGTGCGCTGGGCTCTGCTGTGACTGAAAACTTTGTTTTGCAGTTTCAAGAGTTTGCATGTACAACATTCATGCATACACTTTCTTTCATGATTTTGGTTTACGAGCAACATGTAGCTGCTACATTTCTGGTGTTAATTGCTGAAGCCAAGTTAATAAGCCTGCTGTCTTGCTTCAGAATGTATTTTTTGCATTTGTCATCAACAGATATTCCAAGTATTTGGGGAGCTACATGTACAATAAGAGAGAAGAAGGTTTTAATTATAGCAAATAAATGGGCTGTTTCTTGCCTCACTTACGTCTGTAAAAGCTGCTCATGATTTGTAGTTTAGCAGCTATATTTTACAGCCCTTTTAGTTGCAATTAGGATTTTTGAAAGTCAAAAAAATGTTGAGAGTGTTTTGTCTCGGCTTATGCCCTTTTAAATTCTGCTGCCCTCCTTTGATTGCCCTTACCAAACATCTGCTATTTCTTCTTGTCTGCTTTTTGAGCTCATGTTCAACTCAGCCTGTGGGTAAGATGTGGATTGTTCGCACTGTAGTGTGGTTTTGTCCTGTAATAAAACCAGTTTATTTCTTTGTCATGCCTTGTGCTTCTCAAGTCTTCAGAGACTCTTGGCAGCAATTAAATCTCCATTATTAAGAGTTACCCGCTTGGCATTGCCCTATTCTCAGAACCATTTTCAGATTTTATTGCCAGTTGAAAGATCTAATTATTCAAGACATACTGGGTATGTGCCATCAAGATACAAAGTCAAGAGTTTTAGAGTTCATTTCAGCATTTTGAATCTAGTGGTAAAATTTGCATTATTTTCAAAGGGAGTAAGGTCAGACCCATGCCTGGGGTCTGATCTTGCCGTACTGTGAAGTTTGAACATCTGTCAATTCCCCTATTTGTAGTGTCCCCAAGACACTAAAGATAAAAATGATTATGAATCAGTTCTACTCAAGTTCTCCCATATATACTCACATTTTTTCTTAAAAGAGGGCCTATTTTTAACATACAACATGATGACTGCTTTATATCTTTAAGAAAATACAAAGGTGCTACATCTAACACTAGTTTGCTTGTATTTGTTTGAACTACTTAGAGAGTTGTTTGCTGTAGATTACAGGATAAACACTCTTCACATGTATTTATTCAAATGAAAAAGAAAATGTGATTCAGAGAAAGTTTGTCATCTTGTAATTTCAAACATAACATGCGGGCCACACAGTAATCCTAGTCGTCAGAGTTAATCTGAAGGTCAGTAAGAATGATGCTGAGTTTTACATCAAAACTGGAATTTGGTGTCACAGCAATGTATGACCTTAGTCTGCTTGATCTATGAAATATGGTTGGACATGTCTAAGGCACTTAGCTGCTATGTATAATTTCATATTGCAGTATTTAGGAAGAGTCTGCTATTACTATATTGGGAAGAAATAGCCACTGCACAGCTTTGGAGGTCATACTCAGTCATTGAGATATACCTTTATCCCCATTTTTGGGAAATCTTTCCACCTTGTATAAAAATCTCTGTGATGTCTTTCAGGGCTTTTTAATTTTTTTTTTTACTGTTAAAGAAAAAAAAAGCCGTTAGTCGTAACGTGAACAATCTTGCATGTAAATAAATGAGCCCATGTAATAATGCAAGAAAACTCAGTGCAGAAGAATTTTACTTTTAGGTGTGAAACAGATTGTTCTAAATAATCATGGTACTCTTGAGTATGAAAACATATCCAGTTTTGAGAGACAGCACCTCCTATCTTAATGTAACTGCAAACTGCAACATCTCTGTAAAGCACATATGTAAGTGGAGTTATATTGGTTTATGTTGAAGCCTGAAGAACAGAAACCATTCTCAAGGCTGAGGAAATACAATTAAGTCCATCAGGAATATTCAAAGGTACCCAGCCCTCTACACCATGAAAAATTCCTGCAAAATCAGGTGAGAATCACGGAATCATAGAATTGTAAGGGTTGGAATCATCAAGGGATGATCCCTCAAGGGATCATTGGGTCCAACCCCCCTGCCAAAGCAGATTCAATAGAGAAAAGCATGTTCTCTAGAGAAAATCAAGAGAAGGAACGCTGTAGGTACATATCATGTTTTCTCACTATATTTTCCTTTCCCCTTATATGAGTTTCTTTAAGAAATAATTTTTCTTTTTTTTTTTTCCTTTTACCCTAGATTCTCAGCTACTTCTCTTATGTACACCCCACACTTTTTGCATATAACAACATTTTCATCCATCTTAGCTTTGTGTATTTACATGAACTTGTGTGAGATATAAGGGGTGAGCTCTGCATCATGTATGAGCTTTTGACCAACATGCAAAGGCTGACATAGCAGTGTTCAAAGTAACAGAGAAGAAACAATATGACATGTCCTGAATGCCTGAAGCAGGCCAGTTCTGATCTCTGATCCCTCTCCTGGGTGGCGAGCAGGCAGCCAGAACCACTGCATCCTAGTGGAATCCCCTTACTGTGGTGATGCTTGTGTAGGACTTGCCTTGGCATACCCCAATCCGAGTGTATTTATTTTGTTTAGATGCTCCTGGTACTCAGTTAGTAGTAGTCAGTGATGTGCCAGCTCACAGCTTTGTGTGACTGAAAGTAAGGTGATACAGAGAGATGAAAAGATCCTTTTTTTTCGTCTCCCTGCTTAAAAGTGCTTGAACCAGGAGGCATGGCGCATTTTCCCCAGGGGATGAGCCCTGGCGTGTTGTGACAGTAAGTGCAACCCTGAAAACTGGAAGTGTACTATGGGTCAGCTCCATGGGAAGGCAGCCACAGTGCTTGGCTGACGAAGTTATACTGGGATCACTGTAAAATCCAGAAGATGCCCCATGTCCAGCTGTCCTGGTGATAAGGAGCTTTCCAAGGGCTGAGAGGCATTGCGCATGAAGTAACAGGTGGATTAGGGCCATGATGCACCCATAGGCGTAGGTTGTTGATAAATCCCTTTTCGGAAAGATGCTGTATTAAAACGCATTATCAGTTGTTATTACGTTATTACAATTCTTACAATACCTTGTGCTCGCTTAAATTACCAGCTTCTGGAGTTGGTGTTATCTACAGAATCCCAGTTTTTTAACTAAAAACACAGGAAGTTTCTTGTCCTTTTACCTGTGCAGAAAACCTGTAAGATCTTTAGGCTCAGAGACTAGAAAACAAATGAGCACTTTAAATTATGAAAATAGATGAAAATGTTTTTCATGTTTGGAGACTAATTTCTTATTTTCCATGCCATGTACTGTTAATATTGACTAATATCTGTGGACTGTGGCTCTATCATTGTTGGTGTTTTTTGTTTTGTTTTGTTATGAGTCTTTTTTTTTAAAGTGATATTTATTTGAATTGAAAGAAATTAATTAGGAAATGCTTTAGCAATTTGGATCACTAAAGGTAGGATCCCAGCGCATAGTCAGTTGCCTCTGTGTTCTGATTTCCAGAGATGCTAACGGGCAACAGTTTCTTCCAAACTGAATTGTCAGTAATGTCTCTGTTGAAAAACAGAGTTTTTATGTGCCTACTAGCTTGCTGATTGTGGTTTCTTAACTTCAGATTAAGTGCCTGATTCTGGATCTGGACTTGATATTACTACTGTGACAGACAATAGATGTATATATGACAGCCAATACAAAGGTGCAGCAAACAGTTTCTGCTGGACAGCACTAATTGTAGGTTAGTCAAACGTGAAGTAATACTTATAATGAAACTGATATGCAAAAGCATGTTTTCACTTCTGTAATCATGATTTTTGCAAACACCTCCAGTGCAATGCTCTGGGGGTGTCTGAGTATTTGAATTTAGACATGGAAAAAAAGCAATTTGTATTGCTTTTGTTTCAATGTTAAGTTTGCTGCAGTTTACAGCATTATTTTTTTTTTTTCAGGATTTGCTAGTAACTGGTCACAAACAGGAGTATGGAAGAGGTCACTTGAGATTAATGTAAGGGTTGTGACAGAGGTTCCTTTCCTGCTATATAAACTTCCTTTCTCGAGGAAGCTTTTGTAGATATCAAAGCTAACAATTTTTAGGTTTCATGTAGTATGACCATGCCAACTGGTCAAAAAAGAATTTGAAAATACTTTTTAAAAGAAGACCTATATTATAGTTGTTCAATTTGTACACCAGTATGTTAAAATGCTCCCGGATTAAAACAAATGTCTGTTTACAAACTGTTCCTAGTGACAGACAGTATTTCAAAACCCTCTTGGAATCTTTGAGTGCTGTGAAGATGCCCAAAGTGAAGTGTTATCTACCAGCTACCTTCCAAAGACTACACTAATGTGATACTGACCGCAGATGTTAGTGGTGTTTTGGTAT